GTCATAACTCAAAGGGAAACCCGGCAAGGAAGTTTCTTTCAACCCTTGCACTACATAAACAACTCATCAGACAAAACTTTAGGTCACTGAGCAAATGTTGCCATCAGGAGACACGCTTTGAATTTCGTTACGGATACTGTATGCAGTAGCACTAAAATGCGTCGATTTGATTGAGGAACAATTGAAACTTTAAAAAATCTGGACAATGACTCAAGTGTCTCCAGATATGAACAATTTACCAACCTTCCTTGAAGGAATTGAAAATTTGTATTTTTCCAGAGTTTGGATATACAGTATCTTGAAAAAATTTAGCTTTTTATGTGCACAAAGACGACGAAGTCTAGAATTGATTTAATTATACAGTTACCCTAATTCATAATCAAAATCATGCCATTTTTTTTTACATGTGTGAACAGTATAGCTGCTGGACTTATCCCTTTTCTTTTCTTATATAGAGCTCCTTCGGATTTCAAAATATCCCGTTTTGTGTGGGCTTTTTTTTTTCCTCCACCGTTTTCTTCTGTACCTTGAAGTTCGAAAGGGTTTTTACCAATTAAAAAAAAAAAAACCACTAGAAAATACTTCCATTGAAAACAATGGGAAAACATTATTGTACATATGGATATTCTGAAATGAGGACAAATGTCCAATCATAAATTAAGTCTGCATATGAGGGTCCGCACTGTACTTTGTAATACCTATGATGGAGGTTCAGCTTAGATTTCGCAGTCCGTAATCCATGATTTGCGGAACAAATTTAGAACTCAATCAGCAACAAATATGAAAAAAAGAATAAAATGGCTGTTTTCGCTTCCCACGCGTGCCAACTTGTGTATCCACGCTTATTCCACAGTGTATATATAACGGGAAAAGTACAGGGCGTCTCGCCCGCACCATTGCTTTCTCATTAAAACCACCAAACGAGCCGGCTTAATAACGTTCCCCCGCCATCTCCGCACAACCCGGACATAAAACAATACAAGCTGTGTAATTTTCCGATTTTCTTTATGCGCTGAACAAGCTCAATGACAATAAGGCGAAAAAACGGAAAGCTCGGATTTCCCCGCATGTAGGCTCGGAATCACCGCATAAACGAAGATGAAGAGTACTTTCCGGAATAGCCTTCATAACTGCTTCCCGTCCGCCCTTGGAGTTTGATCTGATTATTCTCAGTCGACGAGGTTTTTGTGCTGGTGTGGCAGATTTCCGGAGGAAATATAGGGTTCTATATTTTATTCTAATCCGTGGGTTCCATTTTCAGGTGAAACCGCGGAAGCTTGTGTGAACTACACGCTACTGTAGGCTATATTGTACTTCCTTCATGAGCTATTGTTTCCGTTTTCTTTCTATTCATCCTGGACAGTACTGTGTACTAGTTCTCGTCGGGGCGAGTCATAAAAAGGCGCATAAAACTCTGCTGCATTGTGCGTTGTTGTGTGCAGCCGCTGTCAATGATTGAACAAATATACACCCTCGAGGGAAACGAATTCTCTTCAAATGCCAAAGATTTTTTTTTCGATATCATGCTTACGAAAATACGAACATAATAACTTGAACTGCTGTGATGTTCATTCCTTCTTATTTCGCCTCAGTGATCATGATTTTTTCTTGAACTGATTTTCTTTCTCTTGGCGAGAAATGTATTGCTAAAATAAATGTCTTGGCTGGGGCACGAATAATATACTGTAAAATAGTTTGCATTGGTTTGTTTATATGTGTTAACCCTTTTTTTAAACTCAAATCGGCTATCTGTTTTTATTATTTATTTAAAAAATTACGTTGTTGTATATTGGCGTTCATTTATTTCTTTCGAGCTTATGGATTTTCTTTTCTGCTGAACCTGTAGAAGGGAAAACGTAGTATTAAATGAGAGTGGTCTATCTACTCCATCATGAACCTTTGAGTACCTAAGTTTCACGCAGAAACTGACGTCTGCATTGCATTTTTAGCTACCAAGTGCAAATTCCCCGCAGATTTTATACCTAAGACTCAAATATTATGTGTCGAAGGAAATAAAAATTCGATGTTAGATATGTTTTTCGAAGCTTGAATCGCAGAAGCGTTTTTCTATTCATCTTATAAAAAATTGAAAGAATGTGTAAAATGTATTGCTGATAAATTTCTGAAAAGTGTGAAGGATTCTATCTCTCAGATTTGTGCTTGAATGTTCCTCAAGAATGTCATTCATTCAAATGATTATCTTAATATTATCTGGGTTTTTTGGATTAGAGAGTTCATGAATGATTGAATGAGCAGAACACTTTATTTTCCGCTTTTCAACATGCACAAGGTTCAATCAAGATTTCCATATCCAAACCCCCTCCCCAACCAACCCAAATCAACTCAAAGACAATTAATCACTTCAGAGCAGGAAACAGAGCACAAATAAATAAAAAAAAGAAAATAAAATACAATCCACAAAATACAACTGGATATCTGACATGTATGCATACACGCATTCCTTCTTTGACAGTAAAAAAATATCAGTAACAATTAATTTAAAGCAAAAGGTCTTCAGCTTGTTTCTGTATGAGGTTTAGTTGGATAAACAATTTAGAGAGAATCTTCCATAAGAAATCATATAAGGCCCACAGTTTATTATCAAGAGTTCATTGTAACAACAGAAAATCATGATCAGAGGAATGGGTGATTGAAATAATGTTTATTGTCTAGGATAAGAAAAGAATGTCCTGCGTTGATTCTGAACATAAAATACCGGGAAACCTTTTAAACAAAATCATATACTGTATAGTGTCTTTAATGCAAATTTTTTTTATCGACAGGATAAAAATAGCGAATGTTCGGGCCACTCTGATTTCAAAATAAGAATCTGTATTGTAGACGTTTTGCTGCTTGCTATGCTAGGTTCTTGAAAAAAATTTCATATCGTATTTGAGGGTCAAAGTGACATTCATACTGTTTCCAGCTGCGTGAAGGTCATTGAACGTGGTGGCGTGCTTTTCTGTGTTTAAAAAAAAAAAAGAAGAGTGAATAGCGATTTCCAGAGTTGGGTCAGAGGGTTTTATACGACGGGGGCTTGTTTACCGAGATTAGAAATTGTTTATGGGCCGAGCCGCATGCGACGTTGATTCGGGCAGAGAGCTGCATAAACGAGATGGCAATCAGTTTTAATGCAATGATTTCCGCGGGGTCCCGGCGATGTGGAATCTGCCCGTCGCTCCTGGTTTTTCTCCCGGGGTTCCCCGGGTTTCACCGCCTCGCACTAAAATGCTTTCCCATCGCCCGGGACGACGGCCGCGGAGAGGAACCCGGGGCATCCGTGAGTCCCTTTGATGCCATCAAAAAGCCCGAGAGTGCGGAACGAGATGGAAGGAAATGAAGTACGGAAATGGGTACTCTCCACCCCGCGGGGCGATTCCCCGATTTTCTTCCCCCCGGGCCAAGAACAAAAGCAAAATGATGGGCCCCCGCTTATTCGCCAGGTCAAATCCGCGCGGGTGTCACCTCGAAGATCAAGGGGGCCCAACGTTGCAGGAATATACCCAGCATGCTTCTCATCACTTATGCGACGATTCGTCAATTTCAAAGTAATCCTGTGCGAGATAGCCATCATTTTTTTTTTCGGGCTTTCCATTTTGAAACTAATAAATGAATAATTGCGGGTCTTTCAGAATATGCTATGCTTTTCTGCAGTGCTATAGGTGAACTGGATTATTCATCATAGCAATCGATTGTTGGATGATTTCGTAGCCTAATCACAGAAGCAATGCAACTCTGCTGTGGAAAACTGCAAATCACATCTTATAACGTGATATCCAATGAAGGGAAATTACAAGCTCTGAAATTATATGATCATCATGGGTTACCCGAATGCTATCTCCAAGGAAAAATTAAACTCATTATTTCGAAATCGATCCCTCTTTCAATTCGACTGTATCGGATGCATATAGAACAGAACGTGATTTCGCATGCGAAACAAGCCTGGTAAATCGAATGATTTTTCCAATTATGCCAGGTGCATGAAAAAAACCTTTTCGACTTAAATTTAATTTTACTCTTTGATTTAGGGGAAGGAACCAACAGGTTCCATATTCTTTTTATTTACAAGTTCAACCGGAATTGAAGTTGTTAAGATTTACAGTAATTTCTTTGATATCGATACAAGAGTTCCGTCAAGAATGAAGTGATGAATCGGTTGAGCACAAAAATCGGAGCTTTAAAAAAAATCAAGTCCCGCTTCACTTTTGGTCTCAGTCTAAAATCTTCGCTGATTTTTGTCAGTGCGTAGGTAAATAAGTGACAGTGGGTTTGAGTACACCGATTCAGTATTTAGCGGGAGCAAAAAGAAGATAGACACACAGTATTTCAAGACACAAACATCGTACAGTATTTTACGACTAGAACTTGACTTTCAGAGAAATTAAAGTATAATCCTTTATTCTGTGAAAGAACCACGTTTGGTGAGATTCCTGTGTTATTATGCATTAGTATACGCGAGTAAATAAGGGTCAAACACGATCGGCGAGTTCGTGGACAGGGCTGATGGTGACCTGGCACCAGAATTCGTGCATTTGGCGGTAATTCAATACATGACCCCATTGCTCCGTGCTGTTGGGTCAGGATGGACGGTCACTTGCCGGACATCCCCGGGCAACTAAACATTTCCGGACGTCCTGATCCTGACGCAGTACAGTTTGTACAGTGCGACTACGAGGATAAGCTCGTCAGAGATGAGAAAAGGGCAAAATGGACGAAGCAGAAGAAGGAGAAGAAATGACAGATATGGTGGATAGGATCGATGCCTTTTTTTTCCATTTGCACAGTGTCTCTCTCTGAGGCAAACGTGTGCGAGTTACCTTCGTTCATAACCTTCAGAGGGTTGCGACCCCCCTGAGGGGTTCCCCATTCGTGGCCTGCTCCTTGGGGCAGATGAGGATCTTTCTTCCTGTCTTCCAACCTCTGTGCAGCTGCTAAGAAACAGGGATCCCTTCCATGCTATTTTTCAATCAATATTTCACGCCCGTAGCGCGAATTTCGACATGGTTGCACTTTGTGCTTTCCTTTGCCATGTCAAAGGTAAATTATATTTCGACCTCTAGAAATTTTCAAAGGAAGAAAACTCGAGACATGTGCAAATGCAGGCATACTGCTCAACTATATGAGTGAGGAATTCATATTTTTTCAATAAAGCTTCATCTTGGGTTTTCGCGAAATGATAAGCGCTTCTCCGAAAAAAATCTTTATAGACTTTGAAGATAACTGGAATCTTTGGTCGTTCATCGGAGTAAAAAATCTGCGTCTAATGAACCGATACAATCCGCTTGACTCATGTACAGTAGGAAAAGTTTCATTTGTGCGAAAATCCAGGCGTTCAGAAGCAGGTATTATATAAGAGTGAGACGTATATAGGTAAAAAAAAAGTTAACTTTCTATGAAATGGCACGACATTCCTCCTCTATTCCTATGCTTCATGCTCAAAAACTCGACGGGAAAATGAATAAAATGCACATAAAACGGAAAAGTTCGTAAATGCAGCTGCATCAATTTTCTGGGATTTTAAAAACGTCTGCTATAAGCGCATTAAACATTTTTTTCGGGTTGCCAAGAGGAACCCGTCCCCAGTGTCCATTCTGGAAAATCTTGAAGACCTTTAAAATAGCGAAGCCATGGGGTAACTATCTCGGAAAAAGAAGTAATCGTTCGGAGCAATCTGATGAAATAATTTATTGCCGTCATAAATGTGTACCATATTTTGTGGTCATCTCGGACAAAGCACTTATTCATGCAAGAGGCAAATTAACCATCTAATTTTTTTCTCTCGCTGATAACTGTGCTGAGGCTGACGAGAGCTGGGATGAAAATTATTCTCATCCGTTTTCTTTTTAATCTGCGAGAATCATTGCTAAATTAGGAAGAAATAACTTTATTCCATCCGTGACGTGGAATAGTGGGGAAAATTGGCGACACAGAACTTTTGTCTGCCATGCCAGTTTTTTTTTTCATGTGATACTAACAATAGATCATCCGATTCAAACAGATTTATTTTTCAGATTGATGAGCACAGAATATAAATATAGAGCTCTTGGAACCTTCCACGCTCGATTGAAAGGAACCAAAGACTTTGTATGAAACTTTAAGTGTCGTGGCGTCACGCCGACAAAAGAAAAGCAGAACAAATTGCAGTCGAGGAAAGCCGAGAGAATAATGGCACCACTGAGATTTATGCCATCCCATTTTTGTGTGACAGATGAATTTCTTTCGCCGCCTTCACGAGATAGCCCCCAGTTCGCTTCGTCGAGGCCCGTTTTTATCTAGAAAGTCTAGGGAGAACCAATGGTTTTTTTTTTGCCAGGCTGCAAAACTGTCCGATATGAGAACGGATTCCTCTCCACGGAGGTTTCCGGAGGCCTCGTGCCACACCTCAGAGGTATGCTGACTTTCAGGAAGATTTTTATTGTTGGACTCACAAGTGTTGCTTATATAAGGGGCAATACTTGTTTGCGACGATTCTTCTTCGTCAGTTGCGAAGTCGTCATTGGGGAAAATGAATGTGACCTAGTTCCACTAAGGAGAATTCATCGCGGAAAACCAAGTTCAAAATATTGCGAGACTAAAATAAATAAAGTATCTTTCCCACCCTACATCGGGAGTCTCGCCTGAATTTATCATTTCGAAGGACGAGTTACACTTCCAGCAGAGGAAATTACGGTGATATAACCAGTCAGCTTTCTGTTCTGCAATAATGTATAAATGATTCTATAAATTTTCACAGAAGCTGTCAATCAGAGCAATGACACACTTCCGTCAAGTCACAACAAAAATATTTAAAAAAATCAGATCAATGTTCAGACCAGTTAATGAACTCATGTGTCAGATGAAGTGGAAGATTGGGCACATGATGAGTTCTATTCATTAATATTTTAGAATCTTAAAAGGTTTTTTACGAGAAAAAAATCATGAAAAGATTGAAGTACAGTGTGTCCCCGAAATGCGGACTTAATTAGTCCTCGGGCCTTGTCCTCGTGTCAGGACGCATCAATGCTGGATCACAGTTACCCCTGGACTTCAATGGGAATATAATTAATTGGTTCTCCTCTTGATCAAAAATTAGGAAAACGTCCCACAAAAATGGAGAAAATGTTTTTCTCAACTTTGATACATATTATGTGCAGAAGAAATATGTGTCAGGACGCATCAATGCTGGATCACAGTTACCCCTGGACTTCAATGGGAATATAATTAATTGGTTCTCCTCTTGATCAAAAATTAGGAAAACGCCCCACAAAAATGGAGAAAAAAATTTTCTCAACTTTGCTATATAATATGTGCAGAAGAAAACCAAGCATAATCTGACCTTTGGGCATAAAAAAGAGTCCACAAAGCAAAGACGAGAGCACAATGTTTCCTATATTGTACTCAGATGTTGGAGAGAAGTCTGAAACAAGTAGAACAAAATTAGCCCGTTTTGGATCATCCATGATAGTAAATTAAAAAAAGCTAAGTTTGTTCAGTACATGTCATAATTTTCAAGGATACAATTTTTCGTTTTTCGCAAATGACGACTTTATCCTGGAATAATGTAAAATTGAGCGCCAACTGGTCTCTAGACCAAAGAAATTTCAAGCTATATAGATTTCAACAAAAGTTTAAAATTGTTCGAACCTTCATTGGTTAATCAACGATAATCTTTCCTGTTGAAGACATAAGACTGAGCATTCAATGAGAATCATTGAGCCTTTATACTCTCTTGAGAAAAAAATGTCCATGCTTTTAATTAATATGGAAAACAGTATTTACAATTTTTATCCCCATTGATTTGACGTGCAGAATTTTTTCTATAGCACAGTTGCCAACCGAGACATGATCAAAATCAGTGTTCAGCCTCGTGGTGTTTTTTTTTTTCTGTTTCGCATCAAGTATACAGCTGGCCGCTGTCTGAGTTGGCTGTAAACTGTGAAGCCCATGGAATGTTAATCCTTCAAACTCGGTCGCCGAAGAGGAACAGCAGCAGTGTATAATGATATAGTACTGTATACCCGTCTGACAACCAGATAAAAGAGGATTCCGCCTCATGTTGTTGATGGAGCAAGCATCAGCCACCATTTTCGTGGATCAGACCTCCTTTCCCTCGAAGAAGCCCCCTTCAAAACCTCAGGCTTCAACCCCGGAGATTTCTTTTCTGAACCCCCCGAAAGCGAAGCCATCAATCGCCTTTCGCCCGTCACGGTGTCCGTGATTCAAAGCGAACAGTACTTGTCGGAAGCACTCAAGCCTTATTCATCGCCCTCGTCCCGATACCGTGCTCATGACCCGACCTTTTGCGGCGACGAGGGAATTATCCCGGCCCACCACGACCTGGCTTTTCGTCTCTCCTTCATTTTTTTCGGCCGTCGATTCTCTCTCACCTCTCCGACGAAAGTCCCACGACTGCATGCGGAAGCAGAACGACGACGACGACGACGACGCCTGCTGGTCGTGACCGGGGATTTTCCCCTGAAGATTTCCAGACTCGGAAATCCGTCTTGTTCGCCGACGGCGCAGTACGGGACTGACTTTAATTCTTCGCTACTTTTTGGTTGTTTCCCTCATTGTTTGTTTATTTTTATTTTCGCTTCACCCTGTCGGATTTTCATGACCGTTCCCTGCGCATTTCCGCGTCACGGCCACTATATATATCGCCGCGAGTATCACATTTCACACTATAGCGGAAACAAAGCACGTTTATTCCGCTCTGGCCTTTCTCCTCGAGGCGGGAAAAAATTGAGATAATCCTTCACGATTACGTCAAGGAGACGGTGGAGCTTGTAATTGAACCATGGCTTTCGTCTCTGTACGTGTTTTCAATCGCAGCTTATGTTGTATACATGTACCTGACGAAGAAATATTTGCTGAAAACCGCTGCGAAATCGAATAATGTTTCGTCCTTCTACGAACGTAGTTTGTCAATCATTGCATCGAAGCTCGCTGCAGTGAAAGGGTCACGGATCGATAGATTCGTTTGCAGCAGTATTGGATGATGTGAAAACAAAAAAACAACTGATAATTAAACATTACTCACAAACCGCATTGATGTAATTTCCTGTGCCGTACGCCACATTTGACACGGAAACTTAGTTTGAAGCGTGAAAGTTGGCATCCAAACAGTTTTGGAAGTTTCTGAAGTTGAGGACAACTCTATCCAAGTTACGGGTGCGAAGTTTGAAACATATTGATCAACAGCACAAATGGATTGGATGTTTCGAAAGGCACGTGTATATTGTAGATAGTTCTTGCCTTCAGGGGAATGGTTAGTGGACTATCGAAAAGGTAAATCTGCGTGGATCGAACAATTTTAAGTGCCACCCAGAAAAGTCAACTCTCGCCGAATCCCTGATGAATCTTACTTGATGATTTCCATCGGATTCGGAATGCAGTAGTTGGGGAAATCTCTGGACTTTTTTTTCTCTGAAATGTTCGCTCTAAGAAGGGTTCATCGGGAATAATTTTCAGTAGGGTTAGCTTGCATTCGACTTATGAAATTACGAAGAAGGGCGTTATCACTTGATTACAAATTAAATGTAGTTAAACCAAGGCAATAGCCTCTTACTCTTGAAATTACGGAACCCCATGATGCCAGTAAGGGATATGGGGACCGAAAAAGGGAGGAATATTTCTACGAACTCTTCATGCTCCACCTTTGCCCTTAATGCACGTATATCTCCCCATATAGTCATCTAGTTCCGTGACACTTGATCAGATCATAAGTAGAAAGTTTGGAAGAATCACAGTGAAGGGGAAGAGGAAGAATTTTCGTGAATAAGACTCTTTTCTCTCTGGTTCAGCAGTCTTTCTTTTTCCAACCTCGTCGGGGAAAAATTGGTACCGATCCTGTATTGGTTTTCCTCGGGTTTTCCAGTCTAGAGCAATATTTTCCCATCCTTATTCGCACCGAACAGTGGGTTCTGGGCACATATGAGATTCTGGAAGCACAAAAAAAGTTTGGGTGAAATAATTTGCTATTTGCATTACAAATTCAAAGGCGTTCCTCCGGCTGCGTGTATTTTAATCTATTCTGCATGCGAGTCCTTCGTTTCTTTTCCGAAGGAAATTTAAGCCCTTCGCTGTTATTTTAGTGTAATTCTCTCGTGTCTTTTGGTTTTTTCATTTCTTTTAATCTTATTTCGTGTTTAAAAAATTATTAGTTACACTTGAGATGTGATTCGTAAAATTGACCCAATAATATCTTGGGGTGCGTTCATTTGTTTTATTCGGTAAAACAATAAAGGCAGTTGTGTCCAGGAATATGAAGCAGTGATTTTAGAAATTCGTTTTACTTTGCTTAGTTTGTCGTCTACGACTAATATGTTTTTTTCTAATGGGGTTCATTTCACGATTGAATGGGTGTGGAATCAAGAATTTATGATCCACTTTATTGGCATCTTCTTCAGAATTACCGCACTCATTTGCCAATGGTCAATTGTTGATTAACAAACTACCATGAGTTTCTGGAGCCATTAAGAATGTTTAGATGCGCAGTGGAATTTCGCTGAAACAAACTCACAGAGACTTCCTCAAAATTTTTTCAAAATCTTTAATATTGAGATTCTTACTCTTTCAAATATTTTGGGTATAGAGGAAAAATTTTAGACAAACGTTTCGTTGGCAATGGGTAACGGATATTTTAAAGCGCGTCGCTATTACAGATAAGTCAAGCGCTGTCATACTTCCTAAAAGTCCAATGTATTAAATGAAGAGGGGCATTTTGTATACACAGTACGGTATAGGACTTTTCCTCTTATTGCACATGCCTTTCCACTGAAGAACCATTTGACTTGGAAAATTAAATGGAACAAAAATCCTGATGGGAAAAATACTTCCTTGATATCCTGAATCAACTTATTCATTCATACTTTCTCTTTTAGGTAGAGAAGAAGTATGTCTATTCTACTCTTTAATTGAAGGAATTACATGCATCTTTCAATGGAAAAGAAGAATTTCCTAAAATATATGATGTTGCATGTTTTTTGAACACTTCAAATTCTTTAAACAAGGTGTTCTTTCTTTTTCAATGATGTTCGAATGCTGCAAGAGTTGGTTTCCATTTTTCCTAATCAATATAGATTCCATGTGGCAATATTATGCACAAAATCAGGGCCACAAATGCATTATACCGAGCCTACAGCCTTCCCAAATATCTTAAAACGGTTAATCCTTGGATAAAGAAGAGTTTGTTATAGTGAAAAATTCGTTGCATCAAAGTGTTTCTGTATTGCATATGTTTTTCCTGCCGTGCGAAAAACTCTGTCGGAGAAATTCAGCTGCTTTGCAGTTTCCAAGTTACTTCTATATGCACTTGGGTGAGTTCTTCATAGAACATAGACAACATTTATATTTATCTGCACCGTACAACAAAATTTGGGTTTTAGACAACACATTCACCTTTTCCCATTTTCATACTGAGCACCTTCGAGGTGGACGATATAATGGAAAATTGAAATCACCTTTTCCGTGAGGGATGGAAATCCATTTTTCGTGGCATGTCGGTGATCCCTGCTTTGCGTGCTCCGACGTGTACGTGTCAAGATGAGATTTGCTTTCAGCAGTGGGGTCCAAATTCCCTCAGCGTCTCGTTTCTACAGTTTCCCATCATTGGTATGGATGTGGAAGAGAATATGGAGTACCCGTGATGTGAACTTCCGAACGAGGTAATTCCGGCGGTCTTCGGGAATTGATGAGGGCCATTTACCGGGCCGGGCTTTTTTTCCGGCGCTGTAGCTGAATCAAACCCATTGCTGAGAGTCTGGGATTCATTGGCGTCATTTATGCTTTCAGCGCAAATGCCACGTTCATTCAATACCGAGAAGCCAGCAGATAATTTTTCAGCATTTGCGGCGGTAATTTTTCGTTAATACTCCAGATGGCTGCAAATACGATATGAGACGGTCTTCTCGGAATATTTTTTTTGTCGATGTCTCATTCCCAAATTCCGTCATTGCATACATTCTCTCTTCCTTCATATCGTATTCTCAATGCATATTCGTCAGCAAGTGTAAGCACTTTGTTTTTTAACAATAATATGTGTGCCCAAGTCCTACATTTTCTGAGCATCAATTATTTTCAAATTTATGTGCATATTTGTTGTAGTGTAAAAGTCGCATCAATGGTCCAAAAAATCACCATCAACGCATTATTTCACGCTGTACATGCTCAGAAAAATTGAGCTACAATAAAAAAACAGGCATGAGCTGTTTTTATCCAACTTTGAAAATCAGTGACACAAACGCCAAAAATGGAAGTTCGCAAATGAAGTTTTAGGCGCTCAAAAATACCCTGTAAATCGAGTTATTTATAAAATATTCTCTAAATCATCAATTCGATTATTGACCTCAATTTACTGACAATGAAATGCAGAGATTCTAAGCCAGTGTTCCCCAACCCATGGTCTGTAGACCAGTGCTGGTTTGGAGACAATTTTGCTAGTTTACCGTAAATTTTCTTCAGCATGATAAATGTATCCAAAGTTGTAAAGAAGTCTGTTATCTTCAGCTGAAAGCTTAGAAAGACTATGGCCCTTGGAATTATCTCATGAAAAATAAAAGTTTGCTTTTTCCCGCTAATAACACTTCAGAAAAATTTCCACTTGCCTGAATAAATTATCTTAATTTTTCATCCTGAGAAACCTCGCTTCAAGCCCACTCTTCTAACTTTTTGAAAACATTCCACCGTAGCTGCTTCATTGGTTCTCAACTAAATTTTTGAAAACAAACAGAAACTTTTCAAATACCTACCATAAATTCGTTCGAACAAAACTTTTTTGAGCCTGAAAAACTTTTTTGAAACTTTGCTGGTCATCTGCAGAAAATTTTTTGGAAATTTCCCAGCCAGCAAAAAAGTTTTGGGAATTCGCGTGTCTGCGGGCACAAGAAGGTTATCCAACACTGGTCTAAGTGACTATCTTAAGATATCGTTGCTTCATCTTCATCTGTTGTACAGTATCTTGTTGCTTCAGATATTCAAATGAGATACAGACTTAGTAAGTGCTGCGTATATAGAGATCAGTTACCAATTAGCATGTGTAACAAAATTTAAATACCGAATAGACTGGAAGAATCTCGACTAAAATTTCTTTTGTTCCTTTTTTTCCTCCTGCAGGTGTCCTGGATCAGACACAAGGACATCCACATCCTGTCGACAGGGAATTACAGGTACACGACTGACGAGAGGTTCGCAAGTTTGCACCATCCGAATTCCGAAGACTGGACGCTGCGGATCCTCCGAACCACTCTCAACGATTCCGGACTTTACGAATGTCAGCTTTCGACTCAGCCCATTAAATCCGTCTTCTTGAACCTTTCAGTAATAGGTGAGTCTTAACTCGCATATACTGCATGTCGTCTTTACGATCAATTGCGTACTCGTGATCCTTGGAGAATAGGGTTAAGGATCCCTCGAGGATCCTCCGTGTTCCCGCAGAGTTGTACCAGCTACGGGGCACAGTCTTGTATCCCCATGGCCTGAGATTCTCTTGTGGTATCCATTACACAACTCTTTGATGTCTCAACAACCCGTCTGCTGACCTGGAAAACAGCCAGAAGTACACGAGGGCTCTCCAATATTCGGATGATTGCGTCCTACAGAGCTCTCGCGAATTCATTCTTGATGTGGAATATTATCTCTCTTTTATCCTTGATGACAGGAAACATTGAGAACAAAATTTCTCGGAATGGCAGTACAGTATATAAAAAGCCTCTTCGGATGCACCAGAAAATTTGCTACATTATGTAACGTGTGCATCGCAGAAGTAAAGTCGTTCACATATTTCTGCAGGTCCAGAATGTTAATATTTTCACGTTTAAATTCTCGGTCTCATCCGCATGTAAATTGAAATTACCTGTAAATGCCTGTTTTGATGTACCAGGTTGAGAATAAATTTAGTATAGTAGCATTCTCTAATGAAAAAAAAAATCGCTTCCGAAAGTTCCGAGAAAGATAAGTTTATGGATGTTCCACGTCCTCAGATGCTACTTCGTTAAATAACGCACTTCAAGAGACGACTCGTCTCAAAGATGATCTTGCCCTAAGTTTTCAACGAATTGCTGAAATAAATATGCGATATGCCCATTTTTTGAAGATATGCAGGGTATTGAAATAGTATTCAGCTTTCATTCATATGCGTGATACTTGAAAAAGAAAAGAGCTTCACATTTGTAAACCGATGTGACTCCGAAGATCAAACTGATGTACCCGCGAGTACCAACAAGAAAAATAAATGTTTTTGTCAGTGAATTTCTTCAGCGGGGGCACGAAAAAAGCTCGAAATGCAAAAAGTGAAACGAACCCCGATTTATTAGCTGGCCTCACGAAAAAAAAAACATTGCAGGCCGTAAAATCGTTGTTTCGGGTACAGCAGTTCAGTCGTGTGTTCGCTTCCCGAGCTCGAGTATAGGAAGCCCGTATTTGCATCTATTCCCTTCAATATATACGCGAGCACGCATCGATAGGTGCTTCCATTTGGGAAAATTTCATCCGACAATCAGCACGAGAAGCGCCGCTAAAGTGTTCGCTTCGGGAAACCTCTTCGCATTTGGCAAGAAAGGAATCGATTCGACGCGAGCCAGCGGTTTTACGCCTAAGGAGATTTCCGAGGAATGGGTAGGGTGTAAATATCGAATTCGTTCCCGGGCAAAGATAATAGATAGGGGGGAACTCATAAATCTCCCGCGGCTATTCCGGGAGAGATCCCGGCCCTGGCACCGATTCACCGCATCCCGCGATCCCTTCCCCCGGCGTCGTCCCGTGACAACGCCACGCGTCTCGACAGTGACGACGTTTCTTGGAGATCCTGGCCCTTCGGCGTCCGAAATTCCGTCGCTTTCATTCAAAGGGACGAACTGACCGCGACTCATCGACAAATGCGCTCGACGACGACGACGAGGACCGTACGAAAAGGACATCATTTTGTGTTCCCCCTTTTTTTCTTTCTTTTTTTTCTTTCTTGCTTTTCCTTCTCCTCGTCTGCAAATCTGTTCCACTTATTTTCTCTCTCTCTCTCTCTTTTAGACAGAGAAAAAACAAGTACCGATTTCAGTCCAATTATTTCAGATTTTATCAAATGCAGCACCGAAACTACCGAGACAATCTAGCTCTTCTACTGTATACTTCTTTCCTTGTTGGGGTGGAAAATACTGTACTGCCCTCCAGAGATTCCTGATGGTACAGCAGCAAGTGCATCGTTTAATAGCCATAATGTATCACATGGCTGGGCAATGCAATAAGACGTGCATCAGATGGCTGGTCACTATTTTGATCAAGATTATTTAAATTCTCCACTCAAGATGTAATTTTTGCAGTGCACATACAGTCTTCCCGCTCTGAAATAAATTGAATCCAACAATCTGAAATGGAAGAGTCATGTGAATGGTTGTGGAATTCTAGCACTTATTCTTTGCTATCGCTGTAATTTCACATGAGAAAATTTAAGTTTGGAAAACGATCACTTGCAATATAACCTGTATGCGATAGGTTCAGAGAGCTATTATGATTAATTGATTAGGTGAAGTCATTCGTTTTTCCATGTTTTGTTTATTTTCATTGGTTCGTTTAAAGCTTCTAAATAATAAAACTAGTTCAGTTCCGTCATAGATGCTCAGGTAATGTAGTTCGGCTCATGGCTTGGTTTGTTACATTTTCTTTGATTGGTTAAACTAGTTCTTAGTGTAAGGTTTTGTTAGAGTACCCATTTCTGGTGCGCTGCAGCATATTTTGTTGAAAAAGAAGCAAAATTGAATTCAGTGAAACTTTCGTGCAACAAACGTTCATGGACCATTGGCAAAATTTCTTAAAATGAGATTTCTGACTCTTTCTAGTTCGTTGATGAACAATTTTCAAAGAATTTCACTATACGAAGGAACTGCTCAGACCCAGAGACAAATTTATTATTGCACTGTGGTCCATCATACGAGAAACGCTTTCTGTATGATTCATCGTTATTATAGAAAACACGATTCTCCATAGACGTGTATGGATACATTCAATTTGTTCCAAGAAGACAATTTCAGAAGGTTTATCAGATTCAATAAACCCATTTTGATTAAATTTCAAACTTGAACTCCTGATAAATGTGATGTACAGTATAAGGTGCAAACCTTCGAATCCAATCATTCTGAGGGGAAAAAAGATTTCAGCTGTTTCAGAAAATTGATTTTCTTCTAAGTACTTCTCAGAGAGTGCGGATTGCTGATTTAGTACATTTTCTTTGTACTGTGAAAGTGAAAATTGCGATACAAATGTTTGTTGTACAGAACATGTGTCATACGAGGTTTTCATACTACAGGTACCACTGTTTAGAAGTGTTTTGCTTCGAAGTTCGTTGTACCGAACATTTCCCTCTGTGCTGTACTGCAATAAATAAATAATTTTAAATCACCTCCCAACTCTTGTACTTTGAAGGGTTGAATGATGTGATGAGAAAATGAATTTCACGATATTTTTTTCCATCTGCAAGCGACATATGAAGCAATTTTATTCCATGTTCGGACTTTCCAATATCCACCTTTACGAGCTATACGGAAATTCCCTTTACTTGATTTACTTTTACTTCATCCTAAAGGGGATGAACGCTATCATATCTGTCCCGTGATACATATCTGTTGAAAATCGCGATAAATTCAGTCCACGCGAAACGTTCGAGCGATGAGGTTCTGCGCTTCGTCCGGCAGAAAAGAAGGCGGCGGGTGTTGTTTGTGTTCGGGCAGCAGGACGTGACATGGCAAGCGTGTGTCACACGATTTCAAGGATGGTCAGAACAGTACTGGCCGAATTTTGACAAGAGGTACTTTGGCTCTTGAAGGGATTGCCTTCAAATGCGGATGCCGCGTATGATTCCTCGAATATTTCTGACGGGTTCATTTTCCGTCGCGTCAGGAAACACGCCTTTTCTCGCATTGATTGCTGTCCGACTCTTCCGTCATGCAAATCGAGAGAGAAAAACACAAGTAATTTAGGGTAAAATATGCAGCGTTCGAAGCGTATACTTGTGTTCGTCATATGAGGGTTGTCCAAGTTGGATGCGACTTCTGATATTTTTTAGTAGGTACATGTGACTTAAAAAGAAAAGCGTAGACATAGCCCATGCTGATGCTCTCAGGATTTTTGGTCTTTTCGGATTAAAAACCTGAGGAACTGCTTGATGATGAGTGAAAACATTTTCTGGCTACAGTTGGAGTTCTTCGCCCAAATCACCGGGAGCTAAAAGTGACTCAGGTTAGCCGAAAAATTGACATCTTATTTTTTCTTACCTATTATCATTTTTGAAGTTTGGTTAATGGTGGAAGCAGCAGAAAATTAGGTTTTAGCTATCCTGAAAAATTTTTGCGTGGAGAATCCTGGCTGAAAATGTGAAGTTCTCCTCTACCAGTATATGGAGTGAATTGGAAAACTTTCCTGCAACAATCCTAAAACGCCCGAGAGCTTTAGAACATTAGGGACTGTGGTAATTATTTGCTTCACAATAACACCTGCATCCTCTCATTAAAATATCAGAGGTCGCATCCAACTCTCGCATTGCCGCGAATAAAAGAGGTAGATGAAGAACTGCGTATATAACGAGTGTGCGTTCAGAAATAACTCGGTGTCGTCCTGTTTCAGACCCGATTCAGTTTCCCGAGCTTTTCACCGAGTTGCTCCTCGAAAAGGAAGGGCTCGTGTCAGAGGCAGAAGAGGCAACACGAGATCGCCAAGACGGGCTAGAGCCGGAGAACAGTGGGTTTCCTCAAAAATGTAACTTTGCCTGGATTGCACTCGGGCCGAATATTTTAACGCTTGTGCTTGTGGGGTATATAGAAGCAATTTCCGTGCGGCCCGCTCTCGAGCACCAGCCGAGGCCACGAATATAACGAAGCAGCTTTTCGAATTAACACGCCATGAGTTGGAAATAGATTTGATTACCAAATAACTCCGTCGATGCTCGGGAGGATCTTGCCGTTGCTGTGTGCTCCTGACTGACTGGCATGAACCCTTATATAGTATATAAATATCCCCCACGCCTCTGTATAGTCACCCTGAAAACAGATGAATCACTTTATATATACGACGGGTACGCCTTATACAAATTTTCTCGGAATAGAAATTCAAGCGTCATGCGATTGATCAGAAAGACAATTATTGCTCAGAAAAAAAAAATTCCTCCCACAATCAGAAAAGAAAATCAGTACTGTTAGACACATTTGTAGAACTTTTTTTTTTAATGGGCTGCACCCATCATGTCAGCTTTCTGCTCTTCACTCAAAAGATCACCAGGCACATCGTGGAGATATTTTGGTTTAGCCTAAAAATTCTTTCAAAATTCTTGACATTGACTTTTGGCATCAATTGCAATGGTTGCCGCCAGGTTTTCCGAGGATATTCCGCCGTTTTCGTCAACAGCCGCCACATTCGCATCCGTAAGTGGCTGCTCTGAGGGCTGCTATTAATGACAATTTTCAATATCAAGAATTTTGTTGTGAACCTCGGGTAAAAAAAATTGTTGCTTGGGCGCCTCGTCTTCTAAGTGAAGAACAGATGCGGTCAGTTAGGGCGACTTCTGCAAAAAATTGCAAAAATATATGTCAAGGAGGGCAGACTTTTTTCCTTGCGCTAATAATGAATGTTTTTCTTTCTGAAAAATAATTTATTTTTACCTCAATTCTACGAAATCCCAATTTCCATCGTAACAACTTCTCGTAGACCTTTTGCATATACAGTATTGTAAGGGATTGGAAGAGTCCGCAAAAAAAGAGACATCAATCAAAATGACCAAGTTTTTAATTCTAAGGCGTTTCCGACCATCTTGCGGTTTCATCATGATACTATTTTGAGAGAAGTGAACTCAATGTCCAGCATCTTAGTTTTATTCCCTCAAAAGAATAGAAAAATCTAGATATCGTGTTCCCGATTGTGATTTTTGTTCTTTGTGTTTAATTTAAAAAAATTATTTGAATTCAAGAAGCGACGATGAAGAATTTTAAAAAGCTATGCACTACTCTCGACAAGAAAACCGCATGCACTCATTTAAATTCTAGTGTGCCTTCCAATCCTTTTTCAAAAACAATAATCAAGTTCGCTCGGTCTCTACTTCAAAATAAACAATGATGCATGAGTAATTCGTGGGCCATGCTTCAGCGATTGATGGATTATTTTGCATTCAACAATAGGTTTGAAGCAGGTTCAACGCTTTTTCAATTGCGAAGGTGGAGTCAAAAAGCATATGTTTGCCAGAGTCAATTGCGCTTAAGACATGGTCATGCCGGGCATTTCAGTGCAGAAATTGCATCAAAATCGGACAGCATATCGAAGAAAATTATTGGATTCGCTGTAGTTTCATGTTTCCTCTGAGATGCAATTTTTAAAAAGAAAACCAATGTTGAAAGCACTGTGGGCACCCAGCACTCGATCTAATATGACGGCCCTCTTGTCAAAAAAAAGAAAAGGGCACGCAATTTCCTGTTGAGTGCGTGGAACGAAGAGAACGTTTTCATAAGGCGACATTACGTGTCGTCGCGTTGGCTGGTAGGGGGTCATTTGAATACGAGCATCATTAACTAAAAATAATCATGGCAGTTGGGCAGAACATGCCAAGGGAAGCACACACACACATCACACAAAAAACCACAACAATGAACCCTTATATAGTATATAAATATCCCCCACGCCTCTGTATAGTCACCCTGAAAACAGATGAATCACTTTATATATACGACGGGTACGCCTTATACAAATTTTCTCGGAATAGAAATTCAAGCGGCATGCGATTGATCGAAAAGACAATTGTTGCTCAGGAAAAAAAATCCTCCCACGACGTGAAAAGAAAGTCAGCACTTTTCGACGCATTAATTTTTTTTTTTTGCGATGGGCTGCACCCATTTCAGCTTTTTGCTCTTCAATCAAAAGATCACCATGCCCATCTTGGAGATATTTTGGTGTAGCCTAGAATTTCTTTCAAAATTCTTTACATTGACTCTCGGCATCAATTGCAATGGCTGTCGCCAGGTTTTCCGAGGCTATTCCGCCGTTTTCGTCAACAGCTGCTTTCACAGCCGCCACATTCGCATCCGTGAGTGGCTGCTCTATGAGGGCTACTATTAATGACAATTTTCAATATCAAGAATTTTGTTGTGAACCTCGGGTAAAAAAAAATTGTTGGTTGGGCGCCTCGTCTTTTGAGTGAAAAACAGATGCGGTCAGTTAGGGCGACTTCTGCAAAAAATTGCAAAAATATATGTCAAGGAGGGCAGAATTTTTTCCTTGCGCAAATAATGAATGTTTTTCTTTCTGAAAAATAATTAATTTTCACCTTAATTCTGTGAAATTCCAATTTCCATCGTGACAACTTTTCTTAGACCTTTTACATATATTTTAAGGGATTGGACGAGTCCGCAAAACAAGGGACATCAATCGAAATGACCGATTTTTCAATTCTAATGCGTTTCCGACCATCTTGGAGTTAATAATCATGATACTATTTTGAAAGAAGTGTACTCAATGTCCAGCATCTGAGTTTTATTCCCTCAAAAAAATACAAAAATCTAGATATCGCGTTCCCTAGTGATTTTTGTGCTTCGTGTTTCATTTAAAAAAATTATTTGAATTCAAGAAGCAACGACGAAGAATTTTAAAAATCTATGCAATACTCTCGACAAGAAAACCGCATGCACTCATTTCAATTCTAGTGTGCCTTCCAATCTTTAAAAAAATAAATAATCGAGTTCACTCGGTCTCTACTTTAAAATAAAAAATGATGCATGAGTAATTCGTGAGCCATGCTTCAGTAATTGAAGGATTATTTTACATTCAAAAATAGGTTTGATGCAGGTGCAACGCTTTTTCAATTGCGAAGATGGAGTCAAAAGGCACATGTTTGCCAGTGCCAATTGCGCTTAAGACATGGTCATGCCGGGCATTTCAGTGCAGCAATTGCATCAAAATCGCACAGCATATCGAAGAAAATTATTGGATTCGCTGTAGTTTCATGTTTCCTCTGAGATGCAATTTTTAAAAAGAAAACCAATGTTGAAAGCGCTGTGGGCACCCAGCACTCGATCTAATATGACGGCCCTCTTGTCAAAAAAAAAGAAAAGGGCACGCAATTTCCTGTTGAGTGCGTGGAACGAAGAGAACTTTTTCATAAGGCGACACATGCACAGCAGCGCAACCGACCATCCCCCAGTAAACTTATGCTCGTAGTAATTGATTTTTATTAGTACCGTCAACCCGTCTTGTACGGTTCCCTTCGTGTGTGTGTGTAGTGTGTTTTTTGGTGTTGATGCGTGTCCCTCGTCGTTATACGCGATCATTTGCCAGCGACTGTGATTTGTAGCTGCTTTTGTTTGCTGGCCATCATTATTTGTGGCCTGTTTTCTTCAGGGGGGCCATGACGTCTCGGCCATGTCACAGAAGTCAAGCAGGGCTGCAATGAATTTTCCAAAGAAGATTTATGTAAACTGGGGAATTCAAGTATTTCTACGCAAAATACACATAGGTACATTTGCCAATATTTCCCACGAAACTCGACAGAAAAAAAGGATGGGGAATCAGAGATATGCGAAAAAGAAGTATGTAAATTATACGTATTTTAGCCGCATTCGTATTTTCAGCATTAGCGTTATGACGTTTCTTGAAGAACCATTGATGGCGTTCGAAGAAGCCAGAATGTTGCATAGCCAAGAAAAGCATATGCTCCATGCATGGACCAGCACGTACAACATGCAGAGATTTTTGTGGAAGACAGACACGTTTAAATGAGAAATAATTTGTGCTCAAGGTCTTGATTGACATAAGTGAAGGGACGTTGAGGTTCTTCCGTATAAGGAGATTTCAGATAACCAAGCAAAAAAAGCATGTCTTTCTAGCTAAGACTTCGGGCTTTAAAAAGGATTCTTGCGGAATACTTAAAAATGCCGTGTTTTATTTATGAAAATTATCGGGTAACGCGTTTTTTTTTTTTTTTTTTATTGTGAACGCCTGAAGCATGGTCAAGTTTTACAAGTTAATATTTTATAACCACTGCTCAATTTACGAAGGGCACCTCAAAAAATTTAGTAATATTATATGTTCTTTTGTAAGTTTTAATTAAACTTTTAAACGTAAGTTTAACGCTTCAAAAGTTAAAGTCAGGAGGGGAAAACATCTTGGACAGTAACTAGTGACAAACTGAAAGTCTTGTGTAGCATTTTCACATTCCTCAGCCTGGTGAAATATCCCCATCACTTATTGTCTTTCACTTGTTTGAACCGCGCGATTCAAGTTTGAATTTTGGCAGCAAAACATATGCCACGGCATGCATCTCATCACAGTGCAACTATTGGAAAATATTTTCAGTGAATTTAAATGGCAGTCGTCTTAAAAAATTGCGAGTAGAAATCATCAGAAAATATTCACCTTATGTGTTCGGTGAAATTCATCCACGGTTGCATACTGATTGGATGAACTGAAAGTGGTACATGTGAATTTACAAGTACTTTTCTAATTGGTCCTATCCTATAACTGAAAATTGAAGCGCACCAAAAAGGGTTTTCTCTTTAAGGCATTCAATTACTACTGCAATTTCCCACATTTTCTGCATCACTTTTGACCTCTAAACAGTCTGGAAACGTTTAGGGAAGTATAGTTGCGGAATTCCCGAAATGGGCTACTTTATGAATCTTTCATTTTTTCTACAAACTTTTTCAAAATTTATGTAAGCAGATAACGTTCGCGGAAGAGGAAATACTTTTGTGAGTGATGTGTAAGTCATGTCGAATTTGTTTTTAAATCCGCAGTTTTCGGCGCCGCTGTTGTATTGAAGGAACATTTTTTGCCGAAAACGTCGCTTGCCGTCAAAACTAGATCACCCACGCTTTCTTATATTTTGATCGATACTAAACTTGCCTCAAGTCTCGAAAATGTCCAGCGTTCAATGAGGCTTGAAATTTCAGAGTCTCATAATTTCGCGTTCGTTTCGTCTCTCTATTTTTAATACGCCGCACGGTTGTTTTGAATGAATTATGGTTTGTATAACACGAAACCCACTCGCACACTGGAGAATAATATACAAGAAAACATTCAAAATTAATTTGAAAATTTGCATTCAAATTGCGAAGTTTTCAATTTCAGTCCTCCCCTTTTGTAGAACCTGTCATTGATCACTGTTTGACTTTCAGAACACATCGTGTTTCACATTCCTCAGCCTGGTGAAATATCCCCATCACTTATTGTCTTTCACTTGTTTGAACCGCGCGATTCAAGTTTGAATTTTGGCAGCAAAACATATGCCACCGCATGCATCTCATCACAGTGCAACTATTGGAAAATATTTTCAGTGAATTTAAATGGCAGTCGTCTTTAAAAAATTGCGAGTAGAAATCATCAGAAAATATTCACCTTATGCGTTTGGTGAAATTCATTCACGGTTGCATACTGATTGAATGAACTGAAATTTTTACATGTGAATTTACAAGTACTTTTCAAATTGGTCCTATCCTATAACTGAAAATTGAAGCACACCAAAAAGGGTTTTCTCTTTAAGGCATTTAATTACTACTGAAATTTCCCACATTTGCTGCATCACTTTTGACCTATAAACAGTCTGAAAACGTTTAGGGAAGTATAGTTGCGGAATTCCAGGAAATGGGCGACTTTATGAATCTTTCATTTTTTCTACAAACTTTTTCAAAATTTATGTAAGCAGATAACGTTCGCGGAAGAGGAAATATTTTTGTGAGTGATGTGTAAGTCATGTCGAATTTTTTTTTTAATCCGCAGTTTTCGGCGCCGCTGTTGTATTGAAGGAACATTTTTTTCCGAAAACGTCGCTTGCCGTCAAAACTAGATCACCCATGCTTTCTTATATTTTGATCGATACTACTTGCCTCAAGTCTCGAACATGTCTAGCGCTATTACTCCGAACTTTAAAGTCTCAGAGTATTAAAGCGCAAGCAAAGCAGAGAGATAAAAATTATGCGGCGTGCCAACAAAACTTACTTAATACCAAACATATTGTGCTTTGGGTGAGCGTGTGACCTCCCCAACTCGAAACGAAGCAAGACTTCGCATTTTAGCATGCCGTCAGTATAATGTCACCAAGATGATGTCCTCGTTTCCTTTTTTCACGCATGGTTATTCCACTCCCGGCCCGGGTATCTCCGAGATGCATGAAGATTTCTTGGCATAGAATGAGACCGTCGAGAGATTTCTTTCTTTCTTTCTTCATTTTCTTCCCCTTTGCTTTTCTATATTTCCAAGAACGTGCTCTTTTTCCTCCTCCCGTCTTGTGTCACGGGTTGGAAGCCCGAAATGAATGCGTATATTCTGGAATGAGAATCAACCCGGACGCCGTTGTATTTTCCACGGGCTTCTGTGATGAAGGACCGTGATCATCTCGCCCGTTTCCCGAGGTCTTGTTGCCCACGGGCGGCTCATTAACAAGCATATAATGCAAGTATTGGCCGGGTCTTCTTCTTTACTGCTCGGGAGTCATGAAAAACCGGAAGCCGCGAGGCGTCTGATGAAGAGGATATACGAACATATACGTACGCGACGACGACCTGAGTTCGTCTCCCTAGCTGTGCAAAATATTGTACCAGTGCTGCGACGAGTCCTCAGAAAAAGTCAACACTGCATTTCTCTCTCACGTATGCTGTATCGACATGGCACAGCATGAATGTATCAAAGGACGCATTTGAACTTGTTAGCACATAAGTTCGCTACTTTTTCAATCTTCAATTTCTCCTCAATAATTCATTTAGCTTTGATTTGGTGGATCGAGGTTGAACGATAAAATCGACTGCTGATGTGATGATGAATAGATCTCAGCGGGCAACACAACCATACTGATTTCAAATCGATCAGAAAAATTCTCCGAATCCAGGTTTTCTCAAGATTAAAGGTCGGAATTCATCTTTTCTGAAATTTAAAATTTTTTCTGAAATTGCCATTGATCTTGGGAATGCATCGCAATTTTCCGCTGCTGAAATTCGAAGAAAGTGTGCTCGCAAATCTGATGCACAGCACCACGATGTAAAAGTACTTTCAATTTCATCAAAAATATCTATAAAAATTGCGTAATGGATTGGAAAACTGTAAGTGAAACTTTATTTCGATTTTATTCGCAGATGAGTCGTTAATCGTTACTTATAGGTCCTGTATGAGGTTTTGTTTCTTTCACAACTTTGCGATGAATTGAAAGCCAATTGTTTTCCAAATGAACTTTATAACTTGTCATTTCAAGTGCTCACTTTGAGATCAACTGCGTCACATTTCATGGGGAGAAACATCAAATTACACCTGAAGAAACCTGCTGCCAAAAGGAGAATGCTCCCTGATGGAAAGATCAAAAATGATGAAAATGAGCCGGACGATGAATCCAATTCCCCGAATATGTAATTTTTTTTTATATGGCGGACATCGATCCCTATATAGGAGTTCGAAAACACCTTTCAGGCATGTAGCTTATTCAGGTGCATTGTATTTTTTCCGTCATTGGAAGCATGGGGGCTGAATCCTTAGTCAAAATGTCTGGACACGTGTAAACTCCTAAATGCTCCTCGTGGGAACCCGGGATCCGTGGGTTCCTTGTCAAAATTACGAGGTTGTATGAATAGCTCCCAGCTTTTTCGAAGACTTCACTCATCATCGCCTCTCGGCAAGGAGAGAGAGAAAACTTTTCGCAAGCCCGGAAGTGCTCAGCACCCATTCCTGCGGGCCGTCGGAAATTGCCGTCGTGCGTAAGGAACCGATGCACGTGACAAGGACGACGGGGAGGAAAAGAAATTACGAGCAGCAGGCAGGTACACCATAGTACAGTACTGTACTCTGATCTCGCAGTCGTCTGCTGCTTGCGGAAGCGGGGCGACACGCGGAAAATGAATATATCTCCCCGCATTCCGAATGACGACGACGACTCGAGCAAAAAAAAGCTTCTCATTTCTGCAGCTAGACCTCAGAAAGACCGAACAGACACTTTCTTTTTTTTCTCTTTTATTGTTACCTCTTGCATGGGATCACCCAGAAAAATCCAAGAGACAAATGTCTTTATTGCTATACATCTGAATCAACCCTTGGACGGTGGAGGGTTCCTGGCTGTCCTGCGACAAAATTAGGATTTTTTGGGGGAGGAGCATATGTGTTCCAGAGTTCGACCAAAGGTCACTGAAATGCCTCCAGATTTCCAAGGCCTAAGTTGGGGGAAATTCAGGTGCAGAAAATCCCATTGTCTCAAGAAATCCTTATTGTCAATCCTATATGCTGGGAATGCATGAAAAAACACCTCCCAAGAGGAATTTCATGTTTCAAGACAAAATTTCCAACAGGATCATAGCAGAATATTTGATTTTTTTCTGACTTAGGCCTGGGTTCAAAAATCATTTTTTTTTTAATTTGATCATGGGGACAAACTTTTGCAAAAATATCTCAACTTTGCCAAACAAGGGTTAATAAAATTCCGGGCTTTGTATATTTTAAAAACTTTATAACTACTCTAATATTTGAATAACTTTCTCTATCCTTTACAAGATATTCAAGGTGTTTTTATGCCATCTATATTTCATTGACCAAGCAGTTCAAAATACACACTTACACAGCAATCTGTTGGAACAAGTTTTCATGATGAAGTATGGAAGAGGGGTCACAGTCTATCCAAGAACACCTGCATCTCTAAACTTTGCTGAACACAGCCATGGGATTATGTGTATTCACCTGTTGGGTTCAGAGCTGACGCATTTATTACAACATACACGTGGAAAGAAAGGAGAAGGCTAACAAAGGTAATTCTGAATATCAATGGGATAACTTTAGGCATGAACCGCATGATTGCATTTCAGAGCAATTGAACAATGAGAGACTTTAATGAGTTAAAACAAAAATCATTGGTATCAATGGGATATTACTATAAAGCCACTATTCTTCCTAGTCATGGTTGGGCTGGCCAACGAATAACCCTCTGATGTCAGTAGCCTCCTTTACATCCTGTGGCAAATGCAAGAGTTTTTACCCACAGATACATTTCAGTCTGACCCAAGGTCACTGAAATGGGCCTGGGCTGAGATGGACTAAATATGAAAAAATACAGGAAGAGTAAATCCTTTTGTTTTCAAAAAATCTCCAATGCTAATTCCAAGCTGGGAATGTAGGAAAAAAAGTCACCAGTGATACATTTTTAGGCAAAATTGTCTGCAGGATTTTAAAAACAATAACAGACTTCTCACATCTCCCAGCTTAGGCATTTGAAAAAAATGTGTTTTTAAATGTTCAGTGCTGATGGACACAAAGTTTTGCAAAGATATGCTGACATTGCCAGACAAGGGTTAACTAATCCTTGGGGGTAGACATCTCAATTAACCCCAAGTGAAAGATATTTAATGGAACTGTCTGGTATAGTGAAAACTTCATGAATCAGATCTGCTTCCTCAAGCAAAGACTTCGGAGGAAATTTTCGAGGTTCAAAGCAATGACGACATCGACATCAATCACGTGGTCTAAAGAATTCCCACTTCATTCTTGCGTTGTTTCTTCAAGTCCTCGTCGTCCCACGCATTTTAGCGATGCATTTTTGCGGTCTGCGGACGACACGAATGACGTTCAAGTTTGCTTCCTGTCGACGGAGAAGAAAGAAAAGGACTACACGGAGGCGACAATAAAGACCGGAAGTGATTTCCGTTCTTAACGCCGAAGGCCAAGGCTTCAAAGCAAGCGACGAGAATGACATGGGGATAAGATGAATGATGGCGGCTGCCGTCATCAGCTTCCTCTTTTCCCTCTCGGCACGTTTTCCTCCTGCGTTTGGAGGGAAATTTATTTGACACAGCCCTCTTCCAATCTTAGCAACAAGCCGTAATCCGGAATCTATCGGGATGAAGCCAGTGACTTCTCTTGTCTATATTCGGAATTTCTGCGTCAAACTCGGAATTCATGCGGGATAACGAGTTCATCTTACTATTTATCCATGGTCAAGACCATAGATAAGAGTTCATCTTACTATTTATCTATGGTCTGGCATATTTTTATTTCCACTTCAACATGCCTGGTATTGACCCTGACATATTTCTTCGGTGTGAATTTTATTTGAAAGTTGATTCTTGCATGAAATTTTTCGATTTGACTATTTGCATTTAAGTATATACGACACGTAAATGCGACTCTTTATCTTGTCTCTCCGTTTATTTTAAAAGTTCTTTCTTCAATGTGATGATTGTCGAGTTATCACTTGTTTCTGCTATTCAAGAAGCGATCTTCTTCAGGGGATTGAAAAAAATTTGATTTTAGCAAGGAATTATCCTGTGAATTCATTTTTAGTCCCTCAAAAAACGGTTCAAACCACATCCATTCTACTGTCTTCGATCTTCTCGAATATTGCAGTAACGATGCATTTTTGTGAAGGTGATTAAGCCTCTAGGAAAAAAAAATTAGCCTGGCACATGCAACAGTGCAGAATTTTATCATGAGGACGTTGCCCACTGTTAATGAGTGCTGCGAAATGTATCGGATATCCCAACGGATTTCCTTGCATTCTGATTCAAATGCAAAGGACTTCAGTATGTAGACTACGAAAGCGAATTATGCGGAAGTTCTAGAGTTTGACACGCTGTTGACAGAGTTTGTTGATTGAATTGGTCCTAATCCGTTATCGGCAAAATTTCGAGCAGCAGTCCTTGTTTCGTATGTGCTGGACACTTCTCTAAATTCCAAGTACTGTACTGCGCTTACAAATGCAAAATGCACTTGACTAAACAATGCAGACACTCTGTCACTCATCACGATTGAATTATCCGTCAGGTTACTTTAGTATTTGGATAGTTTTTCAGTCCTGACGCACGCAGCCTTTTTTTTTATGCATAAAAGAAATATTGCCTGAGAGAAATGTTTCGAACTTTATCATCATCAGTGAAAAGCTCGTCGATTATCCTTGAAAGTGAGACTGGCGATAAAAATTGCACACGACGGTTGCTACATCCAGAATACAGCGCGAACCAAAAAGATTTCTTACGAAAGTACTGTAGTAGAGTATTCCGTGTGGTATATATATTTCTCTGGGTTTTTCGTTGAAATAAGAGGAGAAAACCGGGACGAGAAATCGTGGGAATCCGGAGAAAACGTGTTTGTGCACCTCGTATGCAATGCATTACAGTTGACCCCTGGAATAAATAACATCCTTCTTCTTCTTCTCGTATCCTTCCTGAGCACCAATGCAATGCAGTCGAAGAGAGTGAAGCCAAAAGCTTTTTGCAGTCCCCTCGTTGTTGGTGTGACACTTGATCGATGTTTGCGCGACCTCTCGCGTGTGCCGAAACCGCACAGGCGGTGTGTGAATTAATGATCGGTAATTCGGCTGGCTGGCTGGCCTTCTTCTTCTTCCTCCGGCTTCCCGTTCTTCGAGACTGTGCATATTTCATGCGCATTTTGAATATACCGCCAGGATTTCATGTCGCTCATGTGAATTAATGATCGGTAATTCGGCTGGCTGGCTGGCCTTCTTCTTCTTCCTCCGGCTTCCCGTTCTTCGAGACTGTGCATATTTCATGCGCATTTTGAATATACCGCCAGGATTTCATGTCGCTCGTGTAATCATCGCTTTTTTTTTCTTTCTTCTTCTTCTTCTTGTTCCATTTATTTTCGTACAGTGGCTGTCGCTGAAATCCTGGGTGAAACGGACCGGTACGTGAATCACGGGTCGATGATCAACTTGACGTGCGTCGTGCGAGACTCTCCGATCCCGCCAGAGTTTGTGTACTGGTACCACGACACCGAGGTGGGTTCCATTCCGTGTTTCTACAGCCACGCAACATCGCTGTCAGCAATTAGTGCAATCATCTCCCGAAGTGGTCTCTCTCGCTCTCAATCCTCTGAATAGATATACAATATATATATATATATATACGAAAGTACTATATAGACTGCATTGCTATACTATCATTCTTTCTCCTTTTTATATGTATCTCTGCTGTAATCTCGCATCATTCATTATTTCCTCCCGTGTATAACAGAAGCTAAATACTGGCAGGCAGGAACAAGAAATCGTTTTTAACTGATAGGGACTCAATAACTCAATCCAATTATCCATTTTCAGAACGGGTTTCTCAATAAGTGATTGATAATCCTCTGGAGACTATACACTTGTGCTCGCTTGAAAAACAGATGTGTCATAGAATTATCGGGCCTTTGTATCAATCTATCAATAAATTTTGCTGCATTCCTGTCCAGGCACAATTTTTATTTTGACTGATCTTGCCACCAGAATTGATGCCGAAAGTTGAGCGGATAGTAGACGAAGTCATTTATAGGTTCTCAAGCATCCGTGTGAGATTCCGAAGAAGCCACTTTGATTTCATCAATTAATTTACGGTATATAAATCCCTTCTAAATTTTCTCGAACTATAACATTACTTTTTGCTCTCCAGCAGACACTTTACAACCATCGTAGTCCTCACTCATCGGCCTGAGCAATGTTAATGTAAAGCATGCGGCATGTCTTCGGCAGAATCCTTGGGTTTTTTTCAATTCATGGGAATACTTAGCAGTACTTATTGATTTTCTTCGGAATTTTTAATGCTCGTAAGTACGGCGAGTCACCCATAAACTCTTTTCATTGCGTCGTGACTTCCTGAATATGGAATCAAGTAGTCACTCAAGTCAAAGTGGTTCGGTTTTATTTGAGTGGTTTCTTCTAGCTTCCAGATCGCTTAATCATGAGATTTATGAGACAGCTGGAAGAACTTTTTGAGTAACGGTGGTGCATTTATATTCTTACTTTAAAGTCAGTGGCGAAAAATAGTGTGGTTTCCGGAGAATGAATCTAGGCTTATAAGCTGACAAGTGTTTGTTCAAAGTTGTTGCATCGAAAGGCCTTCCTGGTGAATGTCCTGCATTACGATAGCGATTCCATCTCTTGGATTAGCCAAGATACTGTGTGCAACATAAATTTGGATGATAAGATCGGGTCGTGCAATTAAGCAGCATCCGGTCTTCTTCCTCCTTTTTTTTTGTTGTTCTCCTCTCCTTCTGTATTGCAATCACGATCACGATGCTCGTAATGTGGCCGACTCATTTTTTTGCAAACAGGTGATTAGCTTCGACTCCAAGCGAGGAGGGGTCAGCATGATCACCGACAAGGGCACGACAACGAGCAGTTTCCTCCTGATCCAGGGATGTGAATTAATGATCGGTAATTCGGCTGGCTGGCTGGCCTTCTTCTTCTTCCTCCGGCTTCCCGTTCTTCGAGACTGTGCATATTTCATGCGCATTTTGAATATACCGCCAGGATTTCATGTCGCTCATGTAATCATCGCTTTTTTTTCTTTCTTCTTCTTCTTGTTCCATTTATTTTCCTACAGTGGCTGTCGCTGAAATCCTGGGTGAAACGGACCGGTACGTGAATCACGGGTCGATGATCAACTTGACGTGCGTCGTGCGAGACTCTCCAATCCCGCCAGAGTTTGTGTACTGGTACCACGACAGCGAGGTGGGTTCCATTCCGTGTTTCGACAGCCACGCAACATCGCCGTCAGCAATTAGTGCAATCATCTCCCGAAGTGGTCTCTCTCGCTCTCAATCCTCTGAATAGATATACAATATATATATATACGAAAGTACTATATAGACTGCATTGCTTTACTGTCATTCTTTCTCATTTTTATATGTATCTCTGCTGTAATCTCAAATCATTCATTATTTCCTCCCGTGTATAACAGAAGCTGAATACTGGCAGACAGGAACAAGAAATCGTTTTTAACTGATAGGGACTCAATAACTCAATCCAATTATCCATTTTCAGAACGGGTTTCTCTATAAGTGATATATAATCCTCTGGAGACTATACACTTGTGTTCGCTTAAAAAAAAAAGAGGTATCATAGAATTATTCAGTCTTTGTATCAATCTATAAATAAATTTTGCTGCATTCCTGTCCAGGCACAATTTTTAATTTGACTGATCTTGCAACCAGAATGAATGCCGAAAGTTGAGCGGATAGTAGACGAAGTCATTTATAGGTTCTCAAGCATCCGTGTGAGATTCCGAAGAAGCCACTTTAATTTCATCGATTAATTTACGGTGTATAAATCCCTTCTAAATTTTCTCGAACTATAACATTACTTTTTGCTCTCCAGCAGACACTTTACAACCATCGTAGTCCTCACTCTTCGGCCTGAGCAATGTTAATGTAAAGCATGCGGCATGTCTTCGGCAGAATCCTTGGGTTTTTTCAATTCATGGGAATACTTAGAAGTACTTATTGATTTTCATCGGAATTTTTAATGCTCGACAGTACGGCGAGTCACCCATAAACTCTTTTCATTGCGTCGTGACTTCCTGAATATGGAATCAAGTAGAGTCACTCAAGTCAAAGTAGTTCGGTTTTATTTGAGTGGTTTCTTCTAGGTTCCAGATCACTTAATCATGAGATTTATGAGACTGCTGGAAAAACTTTTTGAGTAACGGTGGTGCATTTATATTCTTACTTTAAAGTCAGTGGCGAAAAATAGTGTGGTTTCCGGAGAATGAATCAAGGCTTATATGCTGACAAGTGTTTGTTCAAAGTTGTTGCATCGAAAGGCCTTTCTGGTGAATGCCCTGCATTACGATTGCGATTCCATCTCTTGGATTAGCCACGATACTGTGTGCAACATACATTTGGATGATAAGATCGGGTCGTGCAATTAAGCAGCATCCGGTCTTCTTCCTGCTTTTTTTTTGTTCTCCTCTCCTTCTGTATTGCAATCACGATTACGATGCTCGTAATGTGGCCGACTCATTTTTTTGCAAACAGGTGATTAGCTTCGACTCCAAGCGAGGAGGGGTCAGCATGATCACCGACAAGGGCACGACAACGAGCAGTTTCCTCCTGATCCAGGGAACGATGCTCGTAATGTGGCCGACTCATTTTTTTGCAAACAGGTGATTAGCTTCGACTCCAAGCGAGGAGGGGTCAGCATGATCACCGACAAGGGCACGACAACGAGCAGTTTCCTCCTGATCCAGGGCGCCCACGCCGGCGACGCCGGGAAATACACCTGCTCGCCGTCCAACTCGGCACCAGTGTCCATCCGAGTCCACGTGCTTAATGGTGAGTTCTCGTGCGTGATATCCTCCGAATCTTGCAAACCCTCGTGCATGTTCTCCTGCTGCTCTTCATATATTCCAACCCCCATCAGTAAGCAAAGAGCAGTGGCAATGGTCTAGGTGTGTATCAGGTTCGTGCGTGGCAGCACCACCATGCAGTGTATGCTACTATGCTGCCTGGTCCTGCTGCTGCTGCTGCTATACCAGCACCACCAGCTGCTCCGGCTGCTGGCGGAAACCGCGCCGGAAATTTCCGTCAGCGCTGCCAACGGGTGATAAATCAGTGTCCTGTGCATGAGGCCCGGGTTTTGGAGAGGTGCTTCTATTTGGCGAGAGCCACTATCGCACATGGACACACGAACCCCCCCCCCCCTTTTCGAGGAGCAAACAATTGGAAATTACCAGTGCCGACGAATTACCCATGGGCATTGTGAATTTCGCTTTGAATAACTTTTTCTACACAAGATGGTGTTGCTTCTAATGGGAATGCAGCACGGCACTGACATGCGGATGCTTCGACATACGCGCGATTCGAATTAGGAAATTTTTTGAACACTGAAAAAATATGCCCGACATCCAGACGATTTCTTGAGAGACGGACGCTTCACCAATATTTTTGGACAAACGCAAAACTTCTATTGTCCGAGATTTTGATATCTCATGGAAAAATATGGAGTTTTTCATATTCACAAAAATTTTTGAAATCATGTATTAAATTCATTATAATTTATTATGCAACGCAGGCTAATTTTTAAAATTTTCTTCAGAGTTACCAAACTCCAATTACGTCCGCCTCTCGGGGTCCCACAGGAGATCTAAAACCGTTGAAAGAGACGATTAAATGATGACTTATCACGAAGCTTCACGGGAAGCACCTTTTTATAACCGTAGTACAGTAAGATTTATCGTTTATAAAACGAGAACGTTTCCGTTGCCAACACAGAATTTTTCTACTGAAAACAGATTCTTTGCGTTGGAATGCTAGCAGACTGCCAACATCATCTCAGCTTCGTAAAAACGCAAAACTGAAAATAAAAAGTAAAATCAAGGGCACGTGATAACTGGTGAGCGATGGACATCCAAACGAGATCAGTTTTGGTCATTCGCCAACAGAATCCAAGGACTCTGAGTCCATCAAACTAGATTTATTTTACTCAACTGGAGATTTGATTTTTTTTAAGGCATTATGGGAGAATCCAAATTGTATTTCCACATGCGAATGGCAAATGAAAAACGAAGCATTCCGAACAAAAATTTACAAAATTAGAAGATGTCATTTCAGGAATGAAAAAGAATTCGTTAATTCCTCACTCCTTTTTTCTAGAATAATTCAGGTTACGCGGATATAATCGTTGGTCATGACTCTCATGGAAAGCAATCGTCGTATGGAACCGATTTCTGCAACTCTTCATCAGGATGTATCGAATGATATTTTCACACTTCATTTTCTTTCTTGAATTTTTCCTCAATTCAAGTGTGCCGATGATGTATGAGGCCTTCTGAACAGCTATTCGGATTACAGTAGTTTTTCACGTATGTAATGACGGCCCTTCTTCTGGGGAACTGCTCATGAATGGTAGAAGGAATTTCCCACTGTGTGCAGCAAAACCTACATTGAATTTTGAGTTCAAGTCGCATGAATGTGGTTCAACTGACTTGAACAAAAACTCCCCTTGGCTTTCGAGTAAATTACAGAACGTATGATAAAAGAAAGAGTGGAAAAAATCCCGGAGCAAGTTGGCATTGCACCGTGGTCTTAATTCCCATTAGAGAACAACGAAAAATGGATGAAAACAGGGTGCATTCGTGATGCAGCCTTTCAAGTACCGTATTTATTACTTTTTTCAACGAAATAACTGCTAAAACAATAAAGAGGTATAATATTTTTCGTTCGCCACGATGAGATCAGAAATCTATGCCACGTAGAACGTAGACCATTTAAAGTTGAACCCTTCGACTTGTGCCGATTTACATAACGTGATCCTACTGCTATCGAACGTTTGTAAATGGGAATAAGCAGTGATTTTGTCAAAGCCTTGAAACGAGATGATTTGTAATCTAGGATCATTATTCAAAGCAAGGAATGTCGAGGTCGACTATCGCCGGGCTGTCATCGACATGATGACCCGGTGAAAAACAAAAGGCTGTGAAAAAAAAATTGGCCATGAATTTATTGAAAAAGCTGGTTCGTGAGAAACTAGCGGGAAATCTGTACACTTCAGCCTCAGCCCAGATGGGCCATAATGCGAGACCTCAGCAAATTTTCCTCGCCCTGCTCGAAAGCAAGAGGCATTTACGCCGTCTGGTCGATGTGTTTGTCATTTGTTTTGCGCCTCACTAACCCGGCCTTTTATACCTTCGCCATTGTTGCACGAAACGCGTCGTCGTACTGACGCCTCCCTCTTCTGCATCTTTAGAACTTGGTTTTCAGAACGAATAGCGTTCAAGTGTGGCTCGACTGCTCTAGAAGTCTTGGAAAGAGGAACTGTGAGGAATTCTGGTACAGTATAGTTATCTTCGCCGGCTTGGTTGAATGCAGCATCAGTGCCTTGAACTTCCGCGCAGTACCAGTGTTTTCACTTCCGAGACTCTGTGCTGTGCATCAGTTTGAAACTTCTCTACAGCAATGGTCCACAGGCTAGTGCCAGTCCATCAAAAACTTTTTGCTGGTTGGCAGGAAATTTTCTTCAGCATAACAAATAATGTATCGAAAAAAGTACAATAATGAAGTTGTTTATCTTGATCTGATTTTGGAAATACAATGGTAGCTGGAATTACATGATGACAAATAAAAGTTGGCTTTCCTTGAATAACACTCCACCTGCTAAAAAAAATAATTTTTTACCTTATTCACTCCTTTACCACATGCACTCTTTCTTCCAAAAATTGAGGTTGACAAGTAGGGTGCACACAGCAGTTTAAATAGGGATACTTTTTGTGTGGGAAAAGATCTAAAACAGTGTGGGTCACGCACACCTGAAAAATTATATAAGCATAATCAGAAGAAAATGCGAGGTGCCAAGTTTCCTTGTTCACATGCTCGAAATAATAACATTTTTACAAAGCTTACTAAAACACATTCGGGTTTCTCCAATAATCTCATGGCATTGAGATAAAATAGGATGCAGAAAATTTTCATCTGATAGAGGAAGTTGCCCTTTAATGCATGCACAATTGAAGTACTGCATCAGACAATAAAAAGGGAAGACAAAATATTAATGTTGATAGAAAATTGGCAGTTCCTCGGGAGAATTTATCATTCTGACTGGGAAGCAGAAGTGGGAACAGTACTTTCAAGTGCACAGGGAAACATTGTGTACATGGTGATGAACACAATGAGGAAAGAATTTTATTCAATCTATGATTTCTGTTAGTTAAGTGCATTTTTTAGACATTATTACTCTGAAATTTTTTTTTTCAGTTAACCATAACTGGGGTGCAGATAGGATTTTAAAAAAATTTCCCATCGAAAAATTGGAGGGGGAGCACCTTACTCAAAAAGGTCCGTGTTATGCAAGCAAATGTATTTATTCTTTTAAAAATCCTTTTTTTGAAGTCCAGCTTTCTCATTGAAGACACTCTAATAATGCATAGTGTACGGCTGCTTCATCAGATAAACCTTCAATTTTTACGATAAACGTGTTTGGGAGAACTTACTGGAAGGCATTCAAATGTTTCTGTTGGTATGCAAATATTTTATAGAACTTCGTCCATTCGAAAAAAAAAAATGCATGGAAAATTTCTGGTCCGCGTGCCCAAAAAGGTTGCGGAACTGAGCTGTATATTACGTGACTTAAGCGCAATGTTCCCCAACCATTTTGGATCTGCAGAGTGGCAAATTTCCATGAAATTTTTGCAGCTGGAAATTTTATTTTAGAAATATTTTTTGGCAGGTACAGTATTTCAACGATTTCTGCAAGTTTTCAAAATGTAAGTTAAGATACAATGAAGCTACTGATGGAGCGGAAGATCTCAAAAATATTAAAAATGAAGTTTTCTTAGAATGAAAAATTAACATAACATATTCCAGCTGGTGACAAGTTGTCAGAAGTGTTATGAAGATAAAATCCAATTTATTTGCTTTTGTATTGTGGTCTCGAAATTTCTATGTTACCATCCAAAACCAAAAACAAAACAGGAAAAAGAGTAGGAAATTCGTTCCTTCCAGCCTGAGATTGGAAGTCGCCATCATCAACGTGGAAATGCTGTGAAGTTTTAAGCGAAGTTCTGCAGCAGTACAGTACTGCACTTCCACCGATTTTTTTTTTCTTCATCTTTTCGTGAGGTCGTTGATGCTGATTTCTCCTTCAGTTTTTTCCCCCCTCATCTTTTGACGCACGTGTATATAGATATATATATACTGTGCTGTCATTACCATCATCTCTCCCTCGAATGTAAATAAATAATAAATACATGCATATTTTTTTCATTCTCTCTCTCTCTATTACAGAGCACCAGGCAGCGATGAAACAGAACGAGGCTGGCGTGAGCGGCAAGCTCCGACGCCAGAGCTGGATCATGACCTGGATCCCGTGTTTCCTCGCCCTGATGGTCGGCTCCACCAGCAAGATAGCCAGATGAATGGCCTGCTAATGCGACAGCCACCACCGGCAGAGCGTCACCCCGAAAGCGAGAACACAAAACAACAAGCCCCCAGGACTCCGTGAAAAGCCTCGTCGTCGTCCCCCATGTTCTTGTTTGTCGAGAGAGAGAGAGAGGAAGAAAGAAAGATGACGAAAGAGAGAGAGAAATAAAAGTATAAATGAGAGAATGTAACAGCGAAGAAGAAGCAGAAGAAGTTTTTTCTTCTCCGCTCTTGCTGAGTGTGTAAGTGAGCGAAAAACGATGAAGGGCGTTTCACGGGTCCGGCTCCGGAGCACAACAGCAGCTACCTACACACTGAAACCCCCGGTGTTTCTCTGCAAAAGAAAAAAGTCAAAAGAGCTGCGCAGAAAAAGTGTTCTCGCCGAGGAAATCACTGAGAAAAAGATTCCTGCAGTTTCCAATTCCGCGACGCGGTTCCCATTCCCAGCATACAGTCAAGTGTGCTATTTGACTCTGTGCGAGAACCTGCATGCTTGTGTATACTCACTCGAACTTGGAGAGAAAAGCAGCGATTTCAGCACCCAGTGATTACGAGCTACACGCGTGAAATCTCAAGTGACAAGGGGGCAAAAATCAGCAGCAGCAGCAGGGGGTGAATGGACGAGGTATTTTGCTGATCATATTTTCTTATAGGCATTTCCCCGGATTCCTGGCATCATGTTCAGTCGACTGGCTTTCACACCAGATGACGTGCTTTCCTCTGCGAATGCAAGGAAAATGATCAGTGAATTACCTCCACGACAAAAAACAAAGTTGTGCTGGTTTCCGTTCTCTTACATCCCACCCTCGTGTGTCCCGCCTAAATGGAGCCTCTGCAACGTAAAAGTCCTCGAGATTGAAATGCGCAGCACAACCTGCTGAATATTGAACAAGAATGGCGCCGTTCGTTCTGTGTGGCATTATTGACAAAATTCGTCCCCTTTTTTGTTTGCTGATGCGTTCGCGGAATTCCCGATCGGGAAAAGCTTTTTTTTTCTTTTCATTCTTTTTCAAATGTATGTGATGTGCGTGCGAGTCTTCGAATGGGCGGAAGACGTTTCGTTGTGTGTCCTGCCACGACGACGATGAGGAGCGTCACTCGTGAGTGGATTGATTTTATGATTGCTGTCGCCGAAATAATTCACGTCGTCGTTCGAATGGTAATGGGAGTTGTGAACCGTCAATTCCGGTCGATGGCTGCGGCCTTCATGAGTTCGACACCAAATACGGCAAAAAAAGAGAAAAGATTATGGTCAATCAGTGTGTTCGCAGACTCTTGAGAGGGTGTCGATGTCGAATTGAATGTTTACCTGATGTACGACACACACACACACACACTCACTGATTGTTGATATCGGATCGTTCCACGATTTGTTTTTCATTTCCTTTTCAAATTGAATCGCATGATGAAAAGATCTGTTTCTTTCGGGTCGGCATTTTTCCTTCCGAAAGCCCGGGTTGCGGCGGAAGCATGTTACATATTCGCCAATCATTTTCTTTGTCATTTTTGTGTCATCGTCGCTGTCGTCGTTGACAACTTGCGAGCGTCGAGCGATTTTTTGCGGAGAAAGGGTAAAAAGAAGAACGGAAGAAAACAACCATCCGCGCTACGAAGGAAATGAAAGCGAACATCTTTCGAACAAAACGTGGTGTTTAAAGTCTTCTTGATTGTGCGCTTCGTTCCATCAGAAAGGAACGGGTCTATTGTGTTCGTGTACGTTCCGCAGACAAGAACCTGACAAGCTTCGACGCGCACAGGGATGAAATTCGGAGCGAGGAAATTTCCTCGGCATTCTCCGTGAACCTGGAGTGATCAAAGGGTAATGTTAACTGACTTGCTCTTATTCTTTTTGCATCAAGGTTATATACGTAGGTCAAGGTTGCAAAATGCAGTTCAGTACAGGATTTTAAAGCAGAGTTCTTATTTTCTGTTCTGTTCTCATTCTTACTGGAATCAAACTCGAACTCTTCTTTGCGACAGTGACGAATCTCCTCAGACACGAATTGACAATGAAAGTTGATCTGAATTAAGAACACTCGTTGTAATCGAATGAATGGCGCTTGTTTTTCTTCGACAAGAAACATGAAAAATAGAACTAGGGTTTTCGCAGAATCGATAGCGTCCTCGAATTTGTTGGGTTTAGGCAATTTCTGACACGCGTCTCAAGATTTTAAGCGTTGTTAGCTACAATCAGACAGTTGAGCATGATTTCGATTTAAAAAATTAACGGTAATTTTGAAGCAGGATACAAAAGAATTGTTATCGGTGGAAATTGTATAACAATTCCCCGATATATATTGCGAGAATATTCGCCATCAAGCGAATATTGCTATTCGGTGTTATTCCTAACACCGGGAAGAAATAATATATTAATATACAATAGATCGACGCGCACAGGGATGAAATTCGGAGCGAGGAAATTTCCTCGGCATTCTCCGTGAACCTGGAGTGATCAAAGGGTAATGTTAACTGACTTGCTCTTATTCTTTTTGCATCAAGGTTATATACGTATAGGTCAAGGTTGCAAAATGCAGTTCAGTACAGGATTTTAAAGCAGAGTTCTTATTATCTGTTCTGTTCTCATTCTCACAGAAATCAAACTCGACCTTTTCTTGCGACAGTGACGAATCTCCTCAGACAAGAATTGACAATGAAAGATGATCTGAATTCAGAACACTCGTTGTAATCGAATGAACGGCGCTGGTTTTTCTTCGACAAGAAACATGAAAAATAGAACTAGGGTTTTCGCAGAATCGATAGCGTCCTCGAATTTGTTGGGTTTAGGCAATTTCTGACACGCGTCTCAAGATTTTAAGCGTTGTAAGCTATAATCGGACAGTTGAGCATGATTTCGATTTCAAAAATTAACGGTAATTTTGAAGCAGGATACAAAAGAATGAAACAATTCTCTAAGCAATTTTCGATTGTTTCGAATGAGTCTATTAAAGCATACTACAGTACTTCATTCAAAATTTAAGTTGGATGTTATTTTATGTGTACCGTTAAAAGAACGCTTCGTTTTCATGTTGAAAATGTCCTCTTAAAGCGTAGTGTTGTAGCTTTTGATGTACTACAATGAAGTACCTGATAAGTTTTAATTTTTGAAGGTTAGAAAAAATAATGTATTATCAAAAGGTGTAATGATTTTCATTTTTGTTCCACTCAGAAGCCTGTAGAATTCAGAAAATATTTTGTCACGAAGCTGAAATCCATTCATTCGAACTCCTCCGCACAAATGAAATAACGGAAATCTCTTGAAATTTCAGGAAAATATTTAGAGTTACCTTCTTTTTCGAAAACGTGCGATAGAACTTGCGAGCTAGGCGGCTTCCGCCCACACATAGGTATTATAACAGCAGACGTGTGTATACTGTATACGTGGTATCCCATCCTTTATTTCCGCATCAAATGCTGTCAAGGTTATTTCTCATCAAAACAGTATATTGCACTCATTGGAAGCATCCACTGTTGATGGAGTATTTTTTTCACAACGTTTGATAAACCTAAACAAAAACATTTTTGAAAGAAACGAAATTTTCCCAAAGTTCATTGTGCATACTGGAGAAAAATGGTAGTCAGCTTCCCATGCGAAATTTAATTGTTTTCCTGTATAGGTTATTCAAATTTAATAAATAATGGGAAAAACTTCGCAATTATTCAAATTTAATACATAATTTTTATTCTTATTACTCATGGATTTAAAAAAAACATTTTCGAGCATTTTAATACAGAAAATGTTGTTCATCATTTCACAATCCTGTGGCACCAACACCGTGTAGAAAATATTCATAATTCCTTAATTTGAATGTCCATGGTGGTGTTGTGGAGAGAATTGAATGAGAAAAACGCATCAAATGTTTTTTTTTGTCATCTCTCAAATTTTCTTTAAATCAAAAGCAGTCTACACAGAACCTCCATTTGAATGAGAGGATAACTGATGATCTCACTCTAATCCCTTCTGATCTTTATATATTTCGATGTTTGTGTGGATTTTTATATGTGGACAACTTTGCTCTCCATTCATGTTTTTTTTCACTGTCCCTCGTGAATTGTTGCATTTTTTCGCCATTAAATTTCAAAATATTTTCTTTTAATAAATCGAACGTACATTCAAGGTGCCCTTTCAATATTTATTCTTGTCTGCAAACCGCCTAATTTTTTATGATTGTATATTTTCCACTGTGCCATTAACACATGTTCTTCTGCCGGGTTTCATCAATGCACATCAGACGGAACTGAAGTATCCCAGGGATTGACATGACGAATTTGAATTCATGATGAGCCCGCTGCAGAATAGTAAAAAAGCGATGTTATTTTACTCACTCTGTTTCTAAGTACTGCATTTGGCGTTCTCAAGTTTCAGCATGACTAAACCCACAGCAGACACTCTCGAAAAAAGGTTCCATTCACGTTTCCTGCCGTTATCCAGAACGACAATCGACTGACATATTGGCTCTGCTGGCATCGATAATGCTCCTGATCCGTATGAAACGCATTCATTGCGTTTGTGAGTGTATACTGCTGGTACTGTACAGTATTTCTGCACGGAACATCTGCACTAGTGTAGATGGCGATAGATGAAGCAGTCTGGCCATCCAATGCGCTCTCATCTCTCCACCACTTGTCTCCTTCGAGACTTCGGAATAAATGCGTCCATCAGAGCTGCCAATCCGCCCGAATGTTGACAAGCGTACATAATATGCGCAGCATTCTCTCGTCTGGTCTTTGATATGAAAGAAAAGGAATGCGGGATAAGAGGATAAGAAACTCGGCTCAGAAGCGAATTGTTTGCTAGCTGCGAGCAAAGGGCGGAATTCGGGCTAGACAGCAGCAGACAGAATTGCTCTTCATGTCTGTCTGATGGCTTCTTCGGCTGGATGATGCAATGCTTGATGCTTCCTGATCACAATTGACTGACAAGTACATGTAGTGTATAACACAGAAGAGTGCTCAAGTTTTGGTACCTTGAAGATCTCTGAAAGAATTTAAAGATGTCAGATGCTTTCGTCTGCATTGGAACGCATCAGAGGCGAAGATTCCCAAAGAAATAGACGAAGATTTATTTTTTCGCTCACGAAAGTTCTTAGATGGCTTACAGCTGATTTTCCAGTAAAATCTTTGGTTAATGTGTTTTATTACCCCAAAGTACCAAAATACTTTTAAAATGCCCAGTTCATACGTGATCTGAATTTCATGAGGGTTCTGGAAAGCTTCAGATTATATCTTAAAAATCCTAGTTATACTTCAAGTATGAAAATTCCGAGTAAATTTTTTCCAGGGATGAAAGCAGTTCGTGCCAACTGATGGTTAGTTTTTTCAATGCTTATAACCNAAAACGCTTTTAAAAGCGTCAGACTCTGATGCTTTCAAAAGCGTCAACTAAAAACGTTTTTTACCCCATCCTGACCGTGTCAGGAAAACAGATCCCTACTTGCATCCAAAACCGTTTGACCACCACCTGAAACGGCCAGGATACGCGTAAAAATAGCTGCTATCTCAGGCAGCAATCTGAAATTTTTGCTGGGGAGGCTAGCCTTCGACGATGGGCTCAGGAATCTGAAATTCTACCACGTGATTCGGCCATAGTATTTTGAATATCATGGTGAAAGTTGTAACAATTTAATGGAAACCAATCACAGGATTAAGTTTTCAGTTCAGGTGGAAATATCCCAGAGATTTTGAAAATGCTGACGCGATTTAATAAAGTCACGAACCAGGTTTAAAATCAAACATGCGATGGAAAATAGACGTTCAGTTTCATCATGGTGATCAAAGAAAAGATGAAGAGAATCTTTATTTACGCATCATATTCTGAGAAAACCCCCGAGACGAGATGCATCATCGTTGAAGTCGAATTGTTCCGAGAAAAATACGGTCGATACAAAACAGTGTAACAAATATAAACTGTGCGAAAATAATGAAGATTTGTTACACAGTACGACTGACGGCAGGACCAATAGATCCATGTAGCATATATTTTCATGGAAAAAGATAAATTGAAGCAAAAATCAGAGAATTGTCAAGAGCAGTATGCTTCAAGTACTCCTCCATTAAATTAACTCCAAGCTTCTAGGATGTTCTCTCTTATTAGATGAGAATAGAACTAAGCCTACTAAAATATTACACAGACTTCTTCTGCTCCAAGAACTTTGGAAATATTTCAATTTTACAGGATGAATTCAACATGTCACATGTGTTGAGGAAGAACTTACCTTAACATACATTTTTTGAATTTTGCAAGTAGATCAGTAAATTGATTTATAAAGTAAAGTTCAAAAATGTAGAAATAAAAAGCAGAATCCGTCTGGGACAAGGCCGGGGAACCCTTTTTCAGTTTCCCTAGGTTAATTTAGAAAATGTATTCAGATTTTCTGTCCCACAAAAGTTTGACACACAAATATTAATTTCTGAACAACACAGCACTCAACAGAACTCTCAACAGAATTTTGTAATTTTCGCAATGTACACAATTCAAAGGTTTGATAGTAAGTGGCTTTGGGAAATTTGTTCTTTGGTGAAATTTGGGAGCAGCAGAAATTGAAACTTGTTTTGCATTGTTCTTTCTAGGTGGTTTTCCTTGGTGAGTTCCTTCCCTTTGAGGGTTGGAATTCTTATCTGATTTTGCAGCTTTACGTAATTTATTA